TTTTCTCTCTCTCTCTCCCCCCCTCTCCCCTATCCACTCTCCCCCCTCTCCCCTCTCCCCCCATACAGTCAGTGCGGGCACATTACTGCTGAACTTCCTGGGGTGTCTGGCCTGGTTCATCTCGGACGGTAGTCAGGGCACCGGATTCGGCATGTCCATCCTCTGGATTATCCTCTTCACGCCGTGCTCCTTCGTGTGCTGGTACAGACCTTTGTACAAGGCGTTCAAGTGAGTCCCAAACAGCTCATCATAAAACTACTTGTTGGGCCGCTTTGACTGGCCGGCCTGCTCTCGGCTCTCTCTGGTTTTGTGATTTATCTTCCTGAAGAGGCTTTTTATATCTGTATATTCTTCCTGTATTCTCGTCATTATAATTTCTTCACATTTCATTTCTCCATCTGTCCCCGGGTGAGGCGCGATGGTCGCCATTCTGACCTCCGTTTGTGTTCTCTCCCACAGGACTGACAGCTCTTTCAATTTCTTCGTCTTCTTCTTCATCTTCTTTGTCCAGGATATTCTCTATGTCCTGGAGGCCATCGGCATCCCCGGATGGGGGTTCAGGTAGGAGCTGCATGGGCTGATGGGATGCTGTGCTGCCATTGGTGTGCAGATGTCATACACATTGGGGTGTGTTGTGCCTGCCAGATTGGGGTGTGCGTACACGGTGGTGTGTTGTGCCTGTCCGACTGTTGTGTACATTAGGGTGTGTCGTGTCCATCAGATTGGGGTGTGTAGACATTTTAGTGTACTGTGTCCGTCACACAGGGCTGTGTTGTGTTTATCAGATTGGGGTGTGTACACAACCGTGTGTGTTGTTCTCATCACAATTGAATGCGTACACACTGCGGTGTTTTGTATCCATCAGTTTGGGGTGTGTTGTGCCCATCAGAGTGGGGTGTGTACACATTGGGGTGTGTTGTTTGTCAGACTGGGGTGTGCACACATCCGGGTGTGTTTTACCTGTCGCATTGGGGTGGGATGTGCACATCAGGGTGTGTTGTTTCAGACTGGGGTGTGTTGTGCCCATCAGAGTGGCATGTGTACATCGGGGTGTGTTGTGTCCACAACAGGGTGTGTTGTGCCCATCACATTGGAGTGTGTTGTATCTATCAGATTGGGGTGTGTTGTGTTTGTCAGACTGGGCGGTGTACACATAAGGGTGTGTTGTGCTCATCATATTGGGTTGTGTAAACATTGTGGTGTGTTGTGAACATCAGTGTGTGTGTGTGTGTGTGTGTGTGTGTGTTTCATCTATCAGATTGGGGTGTGTAGACATCGGGGTGTGTTCTGTCCGTCACATTGAGATGTGTACAGTGGGGTGCATCGTGTCTGTCAGAATGAGGTGTCTAAACATCAGGTTGTGTTGTGTCTGATTAGCCTGTGATGTGTCTGTCATATTGGGGTGTATATACATCGGGGTGTGTCCATCAGACTGGTGAACACCGGGGTATGTTGTGTATTCAGTTTTGTTTTGCTGTGTACTTACAATCAGATAAAGCACGCTCAGCAGTGATCCTCGCAGTGGCAAATATCACACAGGAAACAGTGGTGGGCGCGCCTTGACGCGTTTCGTCTGACTTTCTCAAAGGCTTGCATCTTTCAGGGCTGCCACTGTGGTTGTCTATTCTGAGTTCCGTGGTGTCAATTGCTGGAAGGAGAGACGAGAGGGGATCTAGGTGTAGCGTTACCTGCAGACATCTGACCAGGATAGAAAGCCGTCTGAGTGCAATGGAGAGCTGATAGGGAGCACGGTGGCACGTCTGTGATTGGGGTGCACTACTAGAGAGGAGGAGCTCAATGTCATCTTGGTGACTGAAAGGGTTAAAGAAGTTTTTTCACTTTAGCCAATTGCAATATGATGGTTCGCACGTATTTGTAAATGGCACTTTATATAATGACATATAAGAGGAAGCGCATCTTATTTATTGACTTTAGGCATCAATACAACATTTATTTATAAAATGAGTGTTTTTTTAGGCCCAGCGCAACACAATTGAATATACAACCGTATAGAAGTACACACACTTTTGGGGTGTTTGCAGCTTGCCACTTATCCTGTTGTTTTATCCTAGCGCAGTTTTTTCCTTATTATATACCAGAGTGTGTTCTGGGTGTGGCGTGTCTGTCGGGTTGGGGTGTGTTCTGTCCATCGGGGTGTGGCGTGTCTGTCGGGTTGGGGTGTGTTCTGGGTGTGGCGTGTCTGTCGGGTTGGGGTGTGTTCTGTCCATCGGGGTGTGGCGTGTCTGTCGGGTTGGGGTGTGTTCTGTCAATCAGATTAGGGTTTGAACACCGGGGTGTCTTGTGCCTGTCGGATGGGGGTGGGGTGTGTCTTGTCATCTTGGGGTGTATATACATCGGGGTGTTCTGTCCATCAGATTAGGGTTTGAACACCGGGGCGTGTTTTACCACCCTGGGGATCATCATGCTGAAGAGGGTAAGAGGGGTTTTGATTGTTTTCTATCTTCCACCGGGAGGGGGTGATGGGGAAGCTGCGGGGGTGGGTTCATGGCAGGCGCTGTAAAGAAGAGTCGAGGTCTGTACATAACTTAAGCTGTCGATGACGTCATGGATTACCGTATTGAAAGCCGTCACATTTTCTCTCCCTCAGGTCCACTCGATTTACCGCCGAACCGGCGCCAGTTTCCAGAAGGCTCAGCAGGAGTTTGCCGCCGGTGTCTTCTCTAATGAAACCGTGCGCAACGCAACCACCCAAGCAGCAGCGGGAGCCGCTCAAAATGCCTTCAAGCCCCAATAGAGGAATCGGTCGTAGCACCATCTTGCTGCTGCACACCGCTCTGCCGGGACCGGTCCTGTGTGATGTTAATACAGACCTGTGTGTCTGTATTAACATCACGCCCTGTGAAGTGTGCGTGTACGCGGCGCTGTCTGGGGGCGGAGCACGGCGGTGACACGTTACTGGCCTGCACCAGGCTGTACTGTGATGGTGTCACTCCGCCTCCTCGCTATATTCACGGATCCCCCATACTCAGGATTTCTCTGTCCTGTCTGTGCCCGTCTCTGCCTACGGAGGGGGCTGTATCTCCTGCTGTAGATGTGATGCCGGGGGGTGTGCATGCCTCATGTTTACATGTATGTTGTGTTAACCTGGTTAAAGCATGTTCTCTGTCTCGGACTATTCCCGCCCCTTCACGGGGTCTGAGGATCAGCTGATGCCAAATTAAAGTTTTATGATATCAATCTATTACTTTGTGTTATCATTTATTATTGTTGTCATGGTGATATTACATACTATGGCCCTCCTCCTTTCTCTAGGTGGTTGAGGATGACCCCCCCAAGATGGTATGACAGGCTAGTAATTAAATTCTCCGGGAGGGATCCTTGGCTTTTGGTGTAACAAAGGAGAAGGGCTCCAGTCACATTTCTTGAGTTTATTTTCTCAATACCCTCTGAAGAGAAGGTTAGGGCCCAAAATACTCCCAAAAGGGCTCAAGAAAGACCCTTCACAGTGGCATCCTCACTAGACAGAAGCCAAGGTGGCTACAGAGCACTCCAGCATAGCTGATGTTCTTAGATGTTCTTGACAGGCAGCCATCTTTCTGCTCCTCCTAAATGTACACTCCAGCAGGGCAGCTTGGATTCTCTATGCTTTCAGCACAGGCCCCTCCGACTGGGGCAAGGCCCTTCTCCACACTGCCATCCTTACTAGACAGAAGTCCAGGTGGCTCCAAGACATTCTTCAGCATAGCAGACCTCCTAAGATGCTCCAGACAGCCATCTTTCTGCTCTGCTCCTCATTCATTACACTTGATCAGGCCAGCTTAGATCCTCCAGGACTTCAGCATAGGTTCCCAGCTTGGGCAAGGCCAATGAAAGAAAGACCCTTGTTCACAGTGGCATGCTTACTAGACAGAAGTCCATATGGCTCCAAGACATTCTTCAGCATAGCAAACCTAAGATGCTCCAGACAGGCAGCCATCTTTCTACTCTGCTCCTCCTAAATGTACCCTCCAGCAGGGCAGCTTGGATTCTCTAGGCCTTCAGCACAGGCATCTGGCTGAGGCAAGGCCAATGAAAGAAAGACCCTTCTTCACAGTGGGATCCTCACTAGACAGAAGTTCAGGTGTCTCCAGGACACTCTTCAGCATAGCAGACATTCTGGAGCAGTTCTGCAAACGCAGTGCGTTTGACGCGTTCCAGAACGTTTTCTTTAGCATAAAGCGGCCTTTCAGGTGCAGTTCAGTGTGTTTGCATGCGCTTTTGATACATATACATGTGTTGTGGTGTGTTCCAGACAATAGAAAGTAGTGGATGCAGCATTCTTTTCCCCCACACTGAAACAGACTGCACTGGTGTGAACAGAGCCCAGAAATACCATAGGAATACATTAGGATGCATTTCAGGTGCAGACAAAAACTTCTGGTCTGGGCATGGTGTGAACAAGCCCTCAAAGATGCTCCTGACAGACAACCATGTTTTTGCTTTGCTCATCCGAGATGTACAATCCAGCAAGGCAGCTTCGATTCTCTAGGCCTTCAGCACACCCCCCACGGCTGACCCTTCACAGACGGAAGCCCGGGAGGGAAGACCCTTCTACGGATGCACCAAATGTTTATCACCTTCACTTTGCCCCACACCACTGGACTAAAACCCTCAGTGATTGGCCATGGTGGATAAATGTTCATACAGGCTCGTACATGGTTACCACTAGACATGTAAGCCAGCAAAAAGTTTGTTTTGGTATTAGGGTCCGAAAGTCAATTAGTTTTGGTATTCGGCTTCACATTTGGATGAGTTAAACTATATTATGAACACAAATTTGTTGCAGAAAGGTGACATTTAATGTTTATTTTTTTCTTTTTAACCTCTTGACAGACATCTATGTCATCTACCCGTCAATCACGTCGTCCAGCGATGTAGATCCATGTCAATCACAATGGACAACGGCCGCTGACTGGCCGAAAGTAAAAATTCCCACGCCAGCTGACACAACCGAATCTGACCGACACCAGCGGCAAAATGAATTGCTCTGCTCCAGAATGTCAACAAAGGGGTGGAGGAAGTTGTGACGTCACGGGACTTGTTCCACCCATTTGTTTACATTCCGTGACAGCCCTCTAATGGAAGGTAAACAAATAGGCGGAACAAGTCCCGCAACGTCACGACTCGCTCCGCCCCTATGTTGATATTCGGGAGCAGAGTTGTCATTTTGTAGCTGGTGGGCGTCCAGTAATTTTTTCTGTCGGCGGTCGTTGTCCATGGTGATTTACGTGGAGCTACATCGCTGGATGACGTGATTGATGTGTGGATTACATCGAATTACATTTTTTTTTTTTTTTATAAAAGCCTTGTCAAAAAACAATTCTTTTTTTTTTTTCTTCAAATAAAGAACTTTTGAAGACCGTGTTGAGTATTTAGTGTATTTGATGAATAAGCGGGGTAACAATTACCCCTTATTCATGGGGGAAAGGGGGGGCATCTGGGTGCCCCCTTTATGAGCCTCATTCATATCTAAATGTTTCTATTGCTGAAAGTTTAGTAAGAAAAAAGCCGGTATAAGTCGGAATTTCCCGATCTATACGATCTGTCAGAGTGACGGCAAGAGCTGCAAATGCGGCTCTGCTCTCACTGACAGACACCCGATTCCTGAAAGGGATCGGGTGTCTGAAAAAGCTTAACTCTTTTATTATTGGATGCCTCAATACTGACCCATCCATCAATGAACTTACAGAGCCTCAAATAGCTGAGCAGAGCATTATAGAGCCTCAAATAGCTGATCTTGCACAGTGTATGTGATCAGTCATTTGGGCACTTCATGGCGGGACGTAAAGTGTATGTCTCCCGTCGCGAAGGGGTTAAAGGACTTTTGAAGACAGTGTTGAGTATTTACTTTTTTCTGTATTTGGTGAATGAGTAGGGGTAACCACAATCCCTTACTCATTCACAAGGTGAGGTGACATCTGGGTGCACTTTTATTCGAGGGGGCACCCAGATTCCTATAAGCCCCCCCTGCCTGCAGACCCCCACAACCCAGGCCCTTCTCATCGAGATGGTGACAAGGTGCTTTGCCAGAGGGGGTCCTCCACAACCCAGGCCCTTATCGACTTGGGGACAAGGTGCTTTGCCAGAGGGGGTCCCATGTTGAGGGCACATGGCCTGGTATGGAGGAGGGTGGGGCACACAATCGTCCCCCCTTCCCTGCTCTGCCAGGCTGCTGCTCATATCAAGGATCTGGTAAGGCATTTTAGGGAAGACCCCCACACTTTTTTTCCTATTTTTTTTTTTTTTTTGGCGTTGGGGTCCCCCCTAAAATTCATACCAGACACTGCAGCTTAAAGCAAGGTCTACAGTACTATTGTCTTTCCCCATTGGGGCCATTTTCCAGTATTTCCAAAGAGGTCACCAGGACAGGAAGTGAGGTGCAATCTCCCAAGGGACAGCAAGAGATACCTACCCTTCTGCACGCCGTCTAAAGCTGAAACTCTTTGGATGGAGTTTCAATTTTAAAGACAATCCAGAAAATGCTGCAGCTCTGCAACAGTCAGGAGGAACGTTCAGCAGGTAGGTACCAGAGTGCCCCTTAAAGCAGGAGCAGTGGTCTCAATGTCGCTGGAAGATGAGAGGGACATCTGGTGCTATGCTGGAGTCTCATCAGATCCTCGGAAAGAATTCATGGACAGTTAAGATGAGAGCACATGAGCTGATTGGTTGTAAGGTGTCACAGATTTGGATTATGATCCCTTTATCGGGGAGCATTGGCTGGTGTCTGCAGATAAGTGGGTGGAGCTGCTCCGTACTTGGCATGATTTAGGGTGGAGGAATATCTGACAGCTCTATGGGAACAACCAACCAACAGGAATTCCAGGCAAAAGATTTTGGAGAAGGCCGTTAGAAGGTGTCACATATTGACGTCTGTGTCCAGTGACGCCATTATTAGTAAATCCCCCAAACGGGGGGGGGGGGGGGGTTTGGGGACCCCAAACAACTGGGCATT